TGTATTGATCCCATATCTTCCTCTGCATTTGATACTAATGGGTGGTGGAATTAGAAGGGATACGGGGTGCATTAGGGCCAAACCAGGGGATTAAATGACCCCATTTTACTAATGGGGTCATTTTCATACTAGAAACAAACATTAAAACCTGAGTTCACAATCATTAGGGGAAGGTTTTGGGGGGAGGGGAAAGACAAAGAACAAAAAACATTGTATGCAATAAGAATGGGAAAGTTCATATATTGATTGTAACGAACCTCACAGTTCATATATCATCGTTTCAGTGGTATCATATACAGTATTCACATTTCATCAAATTCTACTTGTAAGTTGTACCCGCCGCCCCAAATTTCAAGAGGTAAAGATGGAGATCTGCACAAAATAAGAATGGTCACAGTGTAATGGAAACACCACTCCGATCGGCTTTGATGATCATAGGTAGGTTATTATGCCTGAGTTCCAAAATGTGAAATCAAATGAATAATAGCAGCTGTCAGAACTCCCAACAATCCACCTGCAACGACCTGCAGCATGGCACATACAGTTAGTTTTTCTCATATTTTATTGTAACATAAGTTTTTTTGCTAAATAAAATAAATAGCAGTTTGACTTTAGCGAATCAGTTTCATCAAATTGGGTCCTCCATTTCAAGAATTTCACTACTTGCTGCAGTTAATCCTCCATATGATGATCTTAAGGTATGTGACATCATCACCTTATCTGTTTCTACTACAGATTATTTGAGAATCTCATACGGAGTGCTCATCAATCGCTTCTAAATACACATATATAGAAGCATGTTTTATTTTCGGTTGGTTATAATTTCTAAGTTATAGTTTAGTTAGATGTCTAATGCAAACCTACTACTTTGATTTATGGGCTTAGCTATGTTGGTAAAGATGTTCCATTTTCTAATTTAGCAGGTATTAAGTTTTAAGCTAAGTCTTGACAATTGGCTTCATGCCTCCCCCTTGCTGACATAAGTTTTAGGGTGAGTTTATGTTTCAAGGCCTGCGACTTTTTAGTGCTAATATTTGGCAAGAAAATGACTGTTTCTTACTATAATCTCTCTCATTTTCTTACAAAGGACAGAACCTTAGGTAGCCTGCAGCCAAACCTTATATATATGATTCAAACTATGTCATATTGCTTTTCAAGGAAGGGGATGAGTTATTTTATTTGTAGTGTGGTTTACCAGTAGCACTGTGGACCATTAGCATTTGGTTGCTACACTACAGTTAGTCATGGTATGTCGTGTACGTGTACGGTGTACCCCCTATGTGCGTATCCAGTAACCCATTCTTTGACATTGTTGATGAAATTAACATGCAAGCCTTAATCAATGTAAGAAGACAAGCTTACTTCAAACAAGTATTCTAAGGTCAAGTTCAAAAAAGACCTCATGGAGAATTAATGATAGAAAATACAGAGTAATGAATAATGACTTTGATTGCAGAATCTTTCTATATACAAAAGCAACAGGAAAAAGTTCCCGCCTAAGTCAATAAGATTACTGTAGCAACAACGGTTAAGGGATTTCTGTAGAAACGGTACACGATCTCCACAAAATCTCCCACGATCTCTTAGATAAAACAGAGCACGATCTCTCGCAGAAGGCTGAGGCTAAAATCTCACCATTCTATTCCTTCTGTTTTTGGATAAGGCCCTATAAGGCCAACCCTTATCTCTGTCGAACTAAGGAGAGCTACGGAAGGAAAATCCCCAACACCATAAGGAAGACTGTGTAGAGAGGTAAAAAATGCAGAGGACAAGTCGTAAAGAGGTTAGACTTGCAAATGCTAATTGTGCTGAAGTCAACGACGCAATCCGATGGTCTTCTTCTTCTTCTGAGCATGAAATATTTTCCAACACAAACGGGTGGTCCGGTGAGCATCACAACCAGCGTCAGCGAGTAGATCTACCGATCTTCTTCTTCATCGTTCACCGAGGTAGCAAGGTAACACTTTCTATTCCATTTTTATTCAATTTCAAAAAAAAAATAATAATCATAGTTTGTACTTTGTGTTATATATGTAATTCGATAGATATACTTTGTGCACTTGATACTTCAATTATTCCCTAATAATTAGTTTTTTTGAATGTATTAATCTACAATTTTGAGTGTACTTCATAAACTTACCTAAGAGCAAGAACCAACAGATTTTTTTTTTTGTTTAGAAGCGGGGTAATTTCAGATTAGCATCTCATTTTCTCTGGGTTGAAGCTAGATTTTAATATTTTTATTTCACTAAATTTGTATCATACAATGAAAGTTTCTTGCATATAAAAAAGTTTTTAATTTGGGATTCTTGGGATAAGGTGAGCATGAGCAATGGAGAGCGGGACTAGGTGCTTCTTCTGATCTGTTCGAATGATTGCTCAAGAGAATGATTGCTCAGGCTATAAAGTTAATGACTAATTTTCTTCACGTACCTGACTACCTACATATTGCAAAGTTGAACTTGCAAAATCTCAATAAGCACTAGAGGAGAAACATATGCTAGATTGTGTGTGGCTATGTTTATGATTTTAAATAAATAGTTCATACTCCAATTTAAATTACATATTTCAACTTTTGCCTTTAATATTTGCAGAGCAAAAAGAAAATTTTTGAGCCTCAGAGGAAAAAATAAAGGAGTTCTTTGATGTACAATCACTAATAGAAAAGATAAGCAGTGACATTTCAGGGAATAATGACCACCTGCAGCATAAATAGATATGTCCCTTAAAAAGTTAGCAAAGTTTTTGAAAAATAAATGATTGATCCCAGATTTGGATGTATTTTGATGGTGTGTGAATATGCTTCCGAATGTGTATTTTTTTACTAAACATCTGAATATGTATCTTCATTCCAGTTTTGAAACCAACTTTTACTAAGCTTTGAATATCAACTAAAAATCTAAATTCTTGATTACATATTATAAGTGAATACTATATTATTATCTCAGCCTTCATGATGATAAATTTTCATCTCATATTTCTCCCTTTTACCATTTTCTTTTATTAATTGCCAATGGCCATATGTATTTCATATTCTGTCCAAATGCTCTTTGGGGTGCATTAGTCCATATAATGGCATCACTATGGGAATATGCTACACTAACTTTTTCTACTTTCCTACTTAGTCAAACACTCTCGAAGTAGTTTTCGACGTATTTGACTAATTGACAAACATTTTATCAAATGCTCTCTAAATTTAACCTTTTTATCCCAACAACTTTTACAAAATAAGAAATATGTTATTAGCCGCCTATATGTATTTAAAACAAGTTAATGAGATGGTACATTATGTTTTTCTCTATATTTACTTTCATTAATTCTACATTTATTTGAATTGATAATCTTGAATTGCGATGATGAAAATTATCTCTTGAACCACACTTAGAATTTTGTACATAGATATGTTTCCAATATTTGTAATTTTTGTTTCATTTTATTATTTTGAAACATTATTGTTTGATGAGAAATATTACAAGCATTAGCATTATTTGAATTTATAGTAACATTATGTCAAGTGGAATAGAGTTATTTATCTTTAAATTAGCAATGATGTGTAATTTATATTTTATATACTCCATTTTTTATTATTATTATTATTATTATTATTATTATTATTATTTTATATTCTTACCGTGCATCGCACGGGTTAGAATCTAGTATGAGTATAAAGATATTGAGAACCAGCTTTGATGTTTTTTTTAGAAATGATTTTTATGGGGAAATATGAGAAGATATGATACACTTTACATCAGAAACATGTGTATGTAATGAAAGAAGAGATGGAGATGAGCCTTTTGCCGTTGCATGGTGGGCAGGGCAGTTACTTTATGTAAAATACACGCGCACACACATACAATATATAAACAAATACTCTGTAAAAGCTTTAGTATATTGCCACAGAAATTCACAAAATTTGTAAAATATTCAACAATGGTTTTCGTCGTGATCAAACAGTGGAATTTTAATGTGTAAAGGCATATTTATTACTCTTCTTAAAGAGTTAGGGAGTAAATATTATTTAGTCGGTGCATCCCTTGAAATGCACAAATGGACAATACTAGTTTTATCAAACATCTAGCTACACATTGCTAATACTATCTACTGATTGAATTGATTCCCATAACACAACCCCCGGACTGCTCATTGTCAAACAAAGCCAAAATGCCCGGAGATACATCTTACTGTAATGGAAAGCATAAATGGCAAACCTGAGGCGGTGTGTGACCCAGAAGTTCGCGAAGTGGTCTGCTCTCGGCAAGAGGATGCTCAGCGGGAAGTTCATACACAATTTGATTCAGAACCTGATAACGAATCAGACAAGTGTGAAGTGCTATTTAAAAACTTTACTCCCTTGCTTAAGCAACTTTCGAACCTTGTTCCCTAGTTATCTCCATATCTTGATATTTAGGATATAGTTGAAAACAAATAAAAGGTTATTGAAATGTTATATGATCATAGTCTGCTAATATTTTGATTCTATAAATTTTCAAATGAGTATTAAAATATGGACTAACCCATCCAACCCTGTTGCAATTTTAGTCCACAGTTGTTGTTGGAGAGGATTAAAAAATCAAAAGTGCAATTAATGGATAAAAGCAAGGATATTTTCGCAAAAGTTTCAAAAAAAAATGCTAAAATTGCTACAGCTGTGATAACTTGAGGAGCAAAAATAGAGAGCATTTCCTAACTGAACAATCCAGTTTGGTATCCAATGCAGAGTTTCAATCTAGTAGAAAAAACATGTTTGCCTCAGCAAATTCAGCCAAACACACCGAGCAACTCTAAAGATGAGTTATCAAACCTCTGCTTGGCGTCCCGCTTGTAATCTTACACCTGTAGCATCATACATCACCTGCCAGAAGAATGTTTTCCTCACATTAAATTCCAGCAGCATGATGAAAAGTAATGGATAAAGATAATTAGGATGGGATAGAATAGAGAGCAACACTATCCCTTTTTACCATTAACCACAACCCCACGTGTAAAGCAGAACAAAAAATTATAGTACAAAAACCATGTTTGCAACATACATGTACCAAACGTATAATGCAGGAAGTTTTAAGAAACAAACAAAGGAGTCACTAACTCCTAGAAATATTTATTTGACATTCAAGATTAGTTTTAGTTCACCCACGAAAAAGGGAATGAGAATGGCACTAGTGAAATATCAACACAATAACTTTCATTCCAAATGATGAGAGTAACTAATGGGCTTTGTGAGTTACTTGGCACAAGTTGCTGGTATGATAGTTGTAGTTATTGCTAGCGTTTAGAACATAGTACCCAGACGAAATCAGATCACTATATTAAATTGACACATTGACATCTTGCATTGAATTGGACTGGAAGTGTACAGTAAAAGTGGTTGAGGACTTTTGAGGACTTGAGGGAATTATATTGAACTACAAGATAGCTTCTCATAAGCTTTAAAAAGCTAGGTTACAGAGAGGATCTATAGGAAGAAGAAGAAGCCTTTCACTCTTTCTATCAAGCCAAAAAGATGTACCATATCTTGTTGGTGCTACCAGAAACAATCATTTTATTATGCAGCCTTTAAGGGCTTCATCACAAGCACCAGCAGTATATCATACAGAGTGCTCCCTTCGCCCCTAATTTGATTACAAATTGGGAGTTACGAGGCAAAATCTCTCGTCTTTTAAAATCATTTTATTTAAAAATTGGTACATTAATAAGAATAAAAATTACATATTAAAAAACTACGTCAAAAGTTCTAAAAAATGAGAGGTGACAAGAATATATTATTTTATCAAATACTCAATGAAAACACACAAATAACTTCAGAGCACATAATAACGTGATCAAATTTAAGGAAATGGAGGGGGGGAGAGAGAATACCACACATGCTAAAATCAATGAAGTAGCAAAAAGTGAGCCCCCAAATCCCTCCTGCAAACCAACACCTACAGCTAGAGCAGTTACAGTTGCTGAATGGGATGAAGGCATACCACCAGACCCAACAAGTTGCTTCAGATCCCATCGCCGTTCCTTGTACCTACAACCCTGCCGGCGTAAATACTCATGCATTCCTTTTCCATTGCAGCACAAAAACAAATCTACCATTTCACTCTCACATGCAAGTCCCAAATCATTTTCCATTGCAGAATAAAATTTTAACAAAAATATACCAAGCTGTAACAATTTCGAAGTGTTCACAACTTATGAATCTTTTCTTGTAAACACTATGATGAAACAATGACAGGCTTGAGGGACAATGAATTTAGGTATTCAGATGAAGAAACTGACATGAGACCTCGAATTAGATCTCAGAGGTTTCAAGAATTCAACGAACAAGACAAGTTCAAATTAGACTATTATGGTGAGAAACAAAACGGAAGGTTACCAGACGGTGAAGAACTTGATGGATTGGGCAACGGCGAAGGCAAAGAGAGCAGAGACCAGAGGGTAATTCGCGAATACTGACGGCGACGATGTCGCCGTAGCAGCTGCCGCGGCGGCGGCTGTTCTCATAGTTGTTCCCGTCGCGGGAACAGCATTCCTGATCAACGACGCAGTTGATCTCGCCGCCATTTTCATCAACACCGCCGTCGCCCTCCGCCGCCAATTCCCACAAATTCCAACCAATTTCCCTACGATTTGGTTGCAAATACAAGTCTGACAGATTTGGATTTCACGCGGAATCAGACGTTCTTAAATGTTCGGATTGCGCAAATTTAAACCCAAGATATCAAGAAAAATCAGGCGTGTGAAATCTGAATCAGTACGCAATGATCATCATAGCCAAAAGGAGGGAAAGCAAGCAGAAAAATCTCTATGCGTCTGTACAAAAAAAACCCAAAGAAATTAATAAGAAAAATTGGTTTTTTTTTAATTTCTTGTTCTTGTTCTTGTTTGGTAGACTTGGGCCGGAGTGGAATATTCTCATGCGTATCAATATTGTATTCGCTGTTACCGCATCCCATTCAACTCAAAATTCTCAATTTTTTTTGGTATTTGAAATATTGAATTCGAAACCAAAGGACCTGTTTGGTCGGATTAAATTGGTCTTTTCAAAATATTAATTCGAGAATATCTTTGAATATATTGGTCTAGATCTTCTCCCGTCAAATTCTGATCAATTTTTTTTGCTGGTTGATGTTGAAGTAAAAGACATTCTTGTCACTTCTAGAGCCGGTTGACAAGTTGTTTTGGCATGAAACGAAGTAATGTTCACAGAGGTCAATAGATTCTTGAGATCCAGATAAAATAAGTACAAACTAATTCTTTAGCAATTGATTTTAAAAAGCTATTTGGCACTTAAAACTTTCACTTTGGGTAAAAATATTTGTTTGCCGTGGGTATTATTATCATAAAAATGCTAGAGATACACCAAATAGTGTACCCCATTTGTACCCCACTCCATCCCCACCATACAAAAGCAAGATAGAAAAAAAATTAAAATAAAAAAAAATAGAGGATGAAAATGCATGGTGTACAAATGGGGTATACCAAATTTGTATTGATAACATTTCTCTTATTATTAATGACTTGAAGAAATGTCCCAAATCCTACTCTTATGGGATGGGTTTTGTTGTTGACTTGTTGTTAACTTGAAGAAATGACTTGTGCCCTTTTTGTGGCTTTTTTTTTAATTTGCACTACGGTGAATGCCACTTGGGATGACAACTTATGGACTACTCCGTATATTTTACTCTTCCCGTCTTAAAATGTTTTTTTAAATTATTATTCAAACTTTAATCACTTTCTTTACCTATTTTTGTTTGTTACGGAGTATTAGATAAAATCATGTAGTCTATTCGCATCGTGTTTTGTAAAACTTTTGATGTAATTTATAAATATTTAAATTTTATTTTTTAATTTTACACATAAAATCAAATATACTGAATTGAAAAATAAAGTCGATCAAACCTCGTAAACAAAAAAAAGGAAAAATATTTTAGGATGGAGAGAGTATTTTTTAAGAGGAATGCTAGGGGTACGCCAAATGAGGTACAAGATTTGGTGTACCCCTAGCATTTTTCATTTTTTAATGATAAAAACTTCTCCTTCTCTCGATGTATTATTGGTACTTCTAGAGCAATTAAAAGAAAAAGAAATGTACGAAGAATACTGCTCTTTAACATAGATGTCAGGAGGTAAATTCTTGAAGGAGATAGTTTTGGTCACATCTTTAGGTTGAAGAAGGAAATATATTCATGATAGTTATCTTTCCCATCTTTGAATAACTTTAAATAATTAAAATGGCAAAACAAAAAAGATATACACAAATTAGAAAGTTTATGAAAAAATTGATTGAACAATGAATAAGTTGTTCTTGTTGTAATATTGACAAAAGCACAATTATCCAAAGTGCATAGCCAATTGTTAATAACAAAATGAAGGTATATTAATATTATAGTATTAGTATCTTTATAAGCCAACCCGAAAAATAAACACGGAATGTGAAAAGCAAAATGGGGTAATGTTCACTACTATTCTACGGATTCCATTAATTTACAACAGCTCTAAATAATATTCTTTGTCCTTAAAAGATTGTCACAGTTAGTCAAAGTGTGGCTTTCTTTGACTGCGAATTATGAAAAATATATGTAATATTTAATTATTTTAAACTATATTTAATTTGTGGTGAAAGGGTGCCACAATTTGACCAAAAAAGTTAAACTATGTCAATCTTTTAGGGACAGAGGATTCATTCATTTTATAATGTGTTATTTTAATTTCATTTCAAGAATTAAGAACCTGTCCAGGGCTGGCCCTGAAAAATGAAAAAATAAAATTGGCCCGGTCTGAAATTTACATTTTGTATCCTATTTTATATTTTTAGAATACTTTTGCTTTAAAATTATTAACAAATTTAAAAATATGGTGCCCTAAATTTTAAGGTGCCCTGTGCGGTTGGCCACTTTGCACACCCTCCGGGCCACCCATGAACCTGTCCAAAGCCTTCTTCCATTTGGTGCCTACTATTGTCATCATCTGCAGAAGAAGCCCCTCATCTGCTAAAACCCCACTGCTTAAAGATCTGTCAATGGCTTCCCACAGAGTGCTCAAAGATAAAATCAATCTAATCCTTTTGGACACCCAACAGCTTTTGATATCCCAGAGAATATGATGCCATTCTTCACAGTAAAGTGAAGTTTGTTCATTGCAACTGTTTGGTTGAACCTGTAGATTAAGTACTTCAGTCCAAAGAATTAGATTCGTTCTTTCATAAACGGGCAATCCAAGATGCACGTGGAAGCCAAAGCATGACAACAAATTAGACAGAGATTATTAAAAAAATGGTTGAATTGGATTAAGGTTGCCCCTAGCATGCTCAATATAGGTCCGGTATGAAGTCAAGGGGATCAACGGCTTATAAATGTATTGCGTACTTTTCCAAAGGGAAACTGATAGATTTGTAAGGGGTGTTTGGAAAACAATTTGATTATTATACTTCGTGGTTTCGCGTACTCTGAAAACGAGATTTTTGGTTTGAAAATAGTTGTTTCTGAACAGTATATTGAACAAGAATTTGGATGGAAGTTTGATAAAAGCTCAGTGCGAGGTGGTCAATTTTTTCGTGTGGCTTTCATGCAAGTGATTGGAGAAAAAGAGAATTTGTTACAGTATTTCGGTCCAAGAGAAAAAAACATAAAATGCTCAAATATTCATATCAACTATCAAGAAACTACAACTGCAACTTCTTGATTTTAGCATTTTGGAAGGGCTTCAAGCTTAACACTCCAAAAAGACTACAAAACACTTAACACACAAGCATTTTACTCAAAGCAGTGTGTCGATGGGCTTATTGTCAAAACATTCTTAAAAGACTATAATGCAGTTAGCACGCAAGCATTTTACTCAAAGGGGTGTTTAAATAGGCAGGACACTCAAAACTCCTAGCCAAACACTCCTATGATAACACATAAAGAATCATGAGTATCCACTAAGTAGTCTCAAGCTTTACCAGTTGTGGGATTACCAGTTTGCAGGTTGTAAATGATTTGTCATTTTTCCCACATTGGCATCAATCATAATAAATCCTTCCCAACAAAACTCATGAGTTCTGCTTTTGCTGCTTCCATCACCACTTTGAATTCTGTCTGCATATACCTTCCCCTGAAACAAATTATAAGATATTATGATTCATTAAATCTAAAGAATATACTCTGTATATGAATAAGGAAGGTACTAAATAGGCTGAAAGCTAGATTGTTGGGACTAGGAATGTGCTGGAGAAGCAGCAAGTAACATGAATAGATAACTTAGTTTAAAAGGAGACAGGAGCGAACAAGGTTCAATATATTGTTATACTATTACTCATCTAAATATGTGATAACACAAAAAGAAAAAAACAATAGCCAGGAATATCAATGCTTCTTGGGCATAAAGTTCTTTGCAGAAATACCAGAAGTGACATTTTGACCAAAAAGTGGAAGGAAAGGCTGGACTAGAAAGGCCATGCAGTATCCGTGCAACAGCTCTAGGAGTAAATTTGGCATGTGAATTGCTCTGTAAAAAGACCTGTTACGCCAGAAACAATAATTGATAACTTGTAACGGCAGGAAATATTCTTTGGTGGTAGAAAAAATTTCATCTCAGATTCTCAGCAACAATTTACCTTTATGTCTGCTCTCAAAAATGGGCTGCAAGTACAAAAGGTAAAAGGCAATCACATTAGTGCTACTGTGCCATGAAAAAACACATTATATAGGAAAATAGTTGACTTTGAGATGACAATAATAAATCTGCAGTGCATAGCTTCCACAACAATTTCTAAGGAAACAAACTGAACGACAATTTGCTATTATTACGTGGAATATTAATAAAAACATCATTAATATTAGACTAGTAAGTGAATAACTTGATAAATTGGTAACCTGCTTTGAGCCATCTTGTTGGGGACATCAATATCATCATTGCTTTTGAAATACTCCAAAATCTTTCTTTGCAAGCAAGGAGTATGATTATAGCCATCACAACCATACACCTTGTCACACCCTTTTACCGCAGATACAGCAGCATTGAACATCGTATCCATCTTTCTCACCTTTTTAAAGGGAAAATGTTCATATATATGTTCTTGATTATTAAATACATGGTGGACTAAAGATAACTACACATGCAGAAAATGCTAACAGGTAGAACTACTCATATACGGAGTATTATGTATGTAAAGTGTGATACTTTTTATATCAATGGTGATTCTGAACCCTAAATATTGTCTCAAAATTATAAATATTTGTGGATCCCAGGCAAATGAGGCAACACTTTGAAAACTTAAAGCTCTGCTCAAAAAAATAATGTACAGAGTATGATATTTCATGGGGTTTCTTGTGTGGAAATTTATATCATGAAGCTGGCTCACTAAGTATGGCAAGCTTGAAGCTTCGGAGCAAGTTCATCTCAGTAGTGTTCAGGTGTTCATTCTAGTTGAAGTAAATGTGTATTACTCATGTAGCGTAAATTTATTTCACCCGTAACTAATAAATTCAATAAGGAGACATGGTATTGTGTTTTAGATGTGATACATGGTCATCAATGCCTAAAATTGTCTTGGAGTGCATGGGCATCTTGAAGCCTGGAAATTGCTTAATGCCCAACAGTTCTAGCATTCTATGTTGGGGTGTGGGAGAGAGTATAAATGAATTTGGAATAAAGAAGAAATTGTATAATCACCTTGCACCTCTCAACCTCTGAAAGCCAGTCTGTAAGCTGTGCTGCTAAAGAACAAATATCCTTGGGGAAATCGATGATTGTGTAACAGTAAGCTTGATCTTTCAGCTCATATGCAATTTCCCCCTTAAACTAAGATAAGCAAACATTTAGATAGTTG